TAAAAAAAAAAAACATTCCCCCCAAATACAAACCCATCCTTTTTTTTTTTTTTTTTTTTTTCCCCCAGTATGGATCGCAACACATAAATTATTCTGTCAAGCTGCATTAATTATAGTATTGACAGATTACAGCACCTTAATAAACACATTTCTGTGTAAGCGTCGGCAGAACAAAGGCCTTCTGGTCTGAGCACTTTTCGTGCGTGACGGAGGTCAGAGGATTTTCTAAGAGGAAAGTTGGAGGCCATAACGGGAGGGACGGAGTCCAGATTGCCACGCCACTATCCAGGTGGACGGATGTGCGGGATTATGTCAAATCTGGACCGGATTGTTGCATTTTAGTCAAATTACTCCCTCCTTATCTTTGACCAGAGGCACACACACACACACACACACACACACACACACACACACACACACACACACACACACACACACACACACACACAGACTCTATATTAGTTGCATAATGGCTTAAATTTGCCATCGTGGGTAGGCAGCGACTCCGTTTATAATTATTGTGATTTTTGTTACATCCTGTCAGTGGTCCCCAGTCTGTATCAACACTGGGGCTTCATCTGTTTAAAGGAGGAAACTCGAGTTTTTGTAACGTAAAGCAGAAATGCTTGTTTTACTTCAAAGTTTCCATTCAAAGAACACAATGTGCTGTTTTGTTCATTTTTTTGTTGAACAAACTTTCCTTCTGAGAGCACACGGTCATGTGAAAAAGTGAGGCAGCGATATGAGAAACGTCGCTTCGCCCATACAATTTGAAAAATTCTCAGAAATTTGTGCAGCAAAACTCAACAATAAAAACGGAAGAACAAACTTTTTAAAACAGGAAAAGAAATCGAAAAACCTTGTATATTTAACTATCTGCTGCACTTCAGAAAGAACGCTGTTGAAGTTCCTGAAGTTATTCCAGGAATACGGATCAACACAAGCTGTCGGGAATATTGTGTCCAAACTTTTCCTCCAATTAGAAAACACAACTTTGTTGGATTTACTGAAGAAGTTTAACTGAAATCGAATCACTTTATTTTGCATAAATGCATTTTCTATTCAAAGTTTGTGGGGCGGCCAAGGCACCATTACTCTCTTACACTCTTTGCTCTCATAAAAATGACTTTAAACTGTGCGATGGAAACGATTATCATTTGGACTTTACAGCTGAGGGTTCAGACTGTAACGCAGACAGATTTAATAGAATAGAAAATCCTTTAAAAAGTTGACGTTTTGATGCTCTACTTCTGTATTAATACAAATGAATTATTTTGTTTCCAACAGATCAGGGCTATAAATTTGACTTCGTCCTCAACGCTGCTTTTGTTTGCTGCTGAAATGTATTTCTTTCAACTTTTATTGTGACGGTTTAATCCTCTCCTCTTAATCTGCGTACTGCTTTCATATTTCTCAAGATGCCGTTGTAACATTTTGATGTGGCAACAAAAAAAAAAAAAAAAAAAATAAATATATTTATATAAATTTTTATTTATATATATTGGGGTTTTTGTGACTTTGG